GACAAACATATACACAGAAGGACTTCCCCCAGTCAAGCGGGCTTTGAGGTCTCTTATGCTCAAGCTATGCTCAGAGTGACTCACTTCATTTCCTGTTGCCTATGGGGTTAGATGTAGGACTCTTAGCTCCCTCTCCAGCACCACATCTGCCTGCACCCCGCCATGTCCTGTCATGGTGGCAATGGACTAAACCTCTGAAACTGTAAGCCAGCCCCATTGTTATTATTATTACTATTTTTTTTGAGACATGGTTTCTCTTTGTAGCCCTAGCTATCCCGGAACTCGCTCTGTAGACCAGGCTGGTCTCGAACTCACAGAGATCCACCTGTGCTGAGATTAAAAGCATGTGCCACCATTACCTGGCTTTTTAAAAAAATTATTGCCATTACATTTTATTTATGTATTAAGGAGTGCCATGCATACCCTAGGATGCAATTCAGGTCATCAGCCTTGGTGGCAAGCCCCCTTAGCCACTGGCCCCTCTCTTTCGTTTTTTGAAACATAACTCAGGCTCACTTCTAACTCAGTATGATCTTGAACTGCTAATCCTCCTGTAGGGGTGATAGGCATTGCCCACACAAGTTTGTGTGATACCGGGAATCAAAAACAGTACTCCATGTACACCAGGCAAATACTCTATGACTGAGTTACATCTGAGGTCCTTGCAGCCCCTAAAATTAGGAAGACAGCAGGCTGGGAGTGGAGGTGCAAGCCTTTAATTCCAGCATAGGTCTATACTCATAGCCACTCGGGAGGCACAGGCAAGAGGATCTCCGTGAGTTCAAGGCCCGCCTTGTCTATATAGATGGAGAGAGTTTCAGGATAGTTGGTGTAGTTTGACTTTCTTATAGAATTTTCATTTGGGCCATCAGCCCCCAAATAAGGACGCAGAAACTCATTATTAATTATAAAAGCTTGGCCTTGCCGGGCAGTGGTGGCCCACGCCTTTAGTTCCAGCACTAGGGAGGCAGAGGCAGGAGGATCTCTGTGAGTTTGAGACCAGCCTGGTCTACCAGAACTAGTTCTAGGACAGCCTCCAAAGCCACAGAGAAACCCTGTCTCAAAAAAACAAAACCAAAACAAATAAAACAAAGACTGGCCTTAGCATAGGCTTGTCCCACGAGCTTAAATTAACCCATCTCTATTAATCTATGTTCTACCACGTGGGTTTTTACCTCTCCTTCATTCTGTATGCCCAACTTCCCCAGGGTCTCATTGGCGTCTGCTGTACACCTAGATTCTATCCCTGAGTTCCTCTCTCTCCCTGGAAGTCCCGCCTAACCCCTCCTGCCTAGCTATTGGCCATTCAGCTTTTTATTAAACCAACCACGGCGACACATGTTCACACAGTGTAGCCAAATATCCCACAATAAGTCAGGGTTACGTGGTGGTACTCTGATAGGGGATATGTTTTGCTGGGGCTATAACTCAGCGGTAGAGGCTTCCTGCCTATGCCCCTGGGTTTGAGCCCACCATGGGTAGGGGAGTAAAGTGCAGTTCCTAGGCACATGCGTGAAATTACCTATCAAGCTTCACCCCCCAGCCCCACGGCCTGTCTTCACTGCCCTCCAGGGACTGCTGTGCACTCGTTATAGTATTACCTGTGGCTGGAGAGAGGGCTCCAGCATGAAAGCTCTTGCTTTGCTCCCCGAAGACCTGAGACTGCTTCCAGGATCCACACCAGATGACCCACAGCCACCTGTACCTTCAGCTCTGGGGGTTCCACGAGCACACATGTGACAGACCCAGACACACACATACACATAAAGTAAAAGAAAAGGGGCTGGAGAGGTGGCTCAGTGGTTAAGAGCACTGGCTGCTCTTCCAGAGGACGCGGGTTCAATTCCTAGCAACCACAGGGCAGCTCCCAAGTTCCAGAGGATCTGATACCTTCACACCAATGCATATAAAATAAATAAGTTAAGCCGGGCGTTGGTGGTGCACGCCTTTAACCCCAGCACTTGGGAGGCAAAGGCAGGCAGATCTCTGTGAGTTCGAGTCCAGCCTGGTCTACAGAGCAGCCTCCAAAACAATACAGAGAAACCCTGTCTCAAAAAAACCAAAACCAAAATAAATAAGTTAAATAAATTTAAAAATAAAGCTAATTCCCTTCCAGGACAGCCAGAGCTGCTACACAGAGAAACCCTGTCTCGAAAAACCAAAAAGAAGAAAAAAGTTAACTCCTAGAATAATTCCCAGAGTTGAATGACTCAGCTGGCAGTGTGGACAGCCAGGGACCCAGGCTCGTCTATTTTGAGATTTGGTTCTATGAGATGGAGTTTTGCTGTGTAACCCAAGCTACTCCTAATTCTGAGGTCCAAATGGTCCTCCTGCCTCAGCCTCTCAAGCAGTTGGGACTACAGATCTGTGCCAAGTACTCATATGTTGGTTAATGTTTGTTTGCTTGCTTTTTGATGGGGAGGGAACAGACAGGGTCTCATACTGTAGCTCACGTTGGCGGGAACTCAGTCCATAGCCTAGGGTGTCCTAAGACCGCCTGTCAATCTTTCTGCCACAGCTTCCGCAACTCCTGAATGCTAGGGTTACAAATGGATAATAATAGCACCAAGCCTCTCCCCTAGCACACAGGAGGCATTATTTAAGCATAGCTGTTGAGGGTGATAATGATTACCGTGACCTGACACCTTCCCAGGAACCCTAGGCTATATGAGCATTGGCCACTAGGAGGCGCGTCTAGCTTTGGCCGCACAGGCACATGGTGGCACTCAGGAGGCGCTGCGGCGCATGTCACGCGGGATCAGTGACAAACTGGAATATTTATTTGGACATTCCACAGGAGAACGGATTGATCCTGGTCAGCTCCAAAACCCACAGAGCCAGGGCTGGGGACTAATATGGGGGATGTCGGAACGAAACAAAAGAAAATAAAACTAGATTCTTTGCTGAGCCTCCAGGCAAAGCAGTGGATTAGACTGTGTGAGGGGACACTAAGCTTCCAACAGCTTTGGCCTCCCCATTCCCACTCCTGTGACACCTGTGGAGCAATGTGGCTGAGGTGTGGGGGGGGAGACAATAGGAATGTCTGTGGATCTACATCTACAATGGATTTTTTTCCAAAAATAATTTACATATACTAGATTTTCATCATATTTTCCCTTCCCCCAACTCCTCCCAGATGTTCCCCACCTCTGCCCACCTGACTTCATCTTCTCTCTCCCCTCCTCTCTCTCTCACTCTCTCAAAAACAAAACAAATAAAAACCTGTAAGATGAAAACTACCAAAAAGAAACAGAAAGTTCACAAAAAAAAATGTGGAATCTATTATGTGTTGGCTAACTCCTCCTGGGCCTGGATTTAAAAAAGAAACACTGTGTGTGTGTGTGTGTGTGAGAGAGAGAGAGAGAGAGAGAGAGAGAGAGAGAGACAGACAGACAGACAGACAGACAGACAGACACACACACACACACACACACACACACACACACACACACACACAGAGTTCTCTCCTGTTATTCTTGGGTCCTGGAGATTAAAGTCAAGTCCTCAGGCTTGGTGGCAAGTGCCTTTATGTTTTCCTTTTCTTTTCTTCCTTCCTTTATTTGCTTTATGTTTTTGGAGACAGGGTTTCTCTGTGTACCCTTGGCTGTCCTAGAAGTAGTTCTACAGACCAGGCTGGCCTAGAACTCACAGAGCGCCTCCTGCCTCTGCCTCCCAAGTGCTGGGATTAAAGGCGTGCGCCACCACTGCCCGGCCAACATTTTGCTTGTTTGTTTGTTTTTTCTTCTTTGGCTATCCAGAGCTTTCCATAGATTCCCAAAAGGGATCCAACATTCCTGAAGGTCAAGATTCTGCCTTCCACATTCTCTTGTGCGTTTCCCCATGTCATTGAGTCTCAGTTCCTTCAGGAACCCTGCCTAGCTGCCAGCCATCAGGGCTGGGTTTAAGTCAGTCTGGGTTCTCAACTCACATCCAGATTCTATGGAAAATATTTATGGGTTCCATGAATGAGGTTAGTGTTTGGGTTGGCTCCTCTGTTCTCAGCTAGGGGCCAGTAGCTTCCTGTTGCACTTTGGACAGGTTACTTTCTTTTTCTTCTTTTTTTTAACCCTCTCTTGGTAGGGCTGAGGGGGAAACTTAGGGCCTTCAACAGCTAGGCAGGAGCTCTGTCACTGAGCCATGCCCCCAGCCCCTCACTGGGTGATTCTAAGCAGGGGCTCTACCACTGAGCTACAACCCAGCCCCTCACTAGGGGATTCTAGGCAGGGGCTCTACCACTGAGCTACACCCCAGCCCCTCACTGGGGAATTCTAGGCAGGGGCTCCACCACTGAGCCACACCTCCAGCACCTCACTGGGGGATTCTAGGCAGGGGCTCTACCACTGAGCCACGCCCCAGCTCTTTACTGCTGGATTCTCAGCAAACACTCTAACACTGGAACATTCCCTAAGCCCCTGCCAATTCTTAAATTCCATTTTTTCAGTTTCATTGAATTATAATCCACAGAAACCAGCATTTGAAGGGTAAAAGTACAGTTGTGTGGTGATGGCCTCCCTGTAGGCAGCATGGATTCTTGAGGCCCTCTTATCTGTGATAGCTGGTGTTCACGGTACTGGATTGTGAAGGGAATAGAACCCTGCCTCTTCTTCCATGCTGGGAAGGTTTAGTCAACAAGGCCAGCCTGGTCTACAAAGCTACACAGAGAAAGCCTGTCTCCAACCCCCCTCCAAAAAAAGAAAACAAAACAAAAACGCGAAACCCCCAGAAACTCTGAAACATGATTGCTCTGAAAATTAGAAAGAGAATGGTAGAAAGGAAGAAGAGACAAGAAGACAGAGAGATGGGAAACTGCCCAGAGAAAAGAAGACGGAAAGAGAGAGAAACTGAGACAGGAGAGCCAAGAGAGACAAAGCCAGACTCAGTCATGGAAAGTCGAAGTCAGTCTTGGCATCAGGAACGGTACGTTCGTGCCTGACTGAGTGACTCAGCGAACTGGGGAGCCAGCTTTTGGGAAAAAGAAAAGGGCAGGTAGAGGCCCAAAGTACAAAATAGGTGTTTTAATTGACAATTGTATAAAAGGACAAGGAATGCGACAGGGGACCCAGGACTGGACCACGCCAGGCCCGAGGTGCCGGTGGGCGGGGCTGGAAGAGACAGGGGCAGTGGCAGGCACCCCTCTACGTCTGTCCATCCTAAATCCAGACTGGCTGGCACCCTGGCACACTTGCAGACTGGAGGGAGGCAGGCGCGCTCTGGAAGCTCCCAGTGAGCAGGCGTAATGGGACCCCAGGCGCCGGCGCTCAGGCCCGAGGTCGCGCAGGCGCACAGTGATGTGGCTGGTGGGTGGGCGCAAATCCTGGCCGGCAGACACAGCGGAAGGAGCCATCGGTATTGACGCAGCGGGCATTGACGCACAGTGGGGAGGTTGCCTCGGCCTCGTCACATTCATTGATGTCTGCGGGGGAAGGGGTATGAAGATCGTTACCGGAGCCCGGGAGAACCACAGATGTTGAGCCTCTCCTACAAAATGCACCATAACCACTTCCAACTGCTGACTATGTGAGCCCAGGCAGGTGACCTACGCCTGTGTTTTGGCCTGCAAGATGGGCCGGTGGGATTAAAGGCTTTCTGTGCAGGGCTGATGACCTGAGTTTGATCCTTGGAACCCAAGGAAAGGTGGAAAGGGAGACCTAATGCCACAGAGTTATATCCTGACCTCCACACGTGTGACACGGTATGCAATAATAAAGAAAAACTGAAAACGAAGATAGATATCAGATTATATCTGCAGGATTCTTTCTGTATTCCCAAGTCCGGCTTTCCCGGTGCTCTGACGTCATCAAGCTCCCCCCACCCTGAGCAAGAGTAAATTTCCTCCCCCAAGGATGGTCTGGCCCCCGTCTGTAATGAGCTTCTTTCTTGGCAGTTCCTGATCACCCTCTGGTCAGGCTTGCTGTTAGCCTTCCCTCTGTCCCCCTTTCTCACCGACACAGGACATGCGGGCCATGTCCAGGCGGTAGCCATCGAAACAGTCGCAGGTGAAACCTTCGGGAACCCGCACACAGCGGCCATGGGCACAGCCATCCAGGATCCCGCACTCCTCAGCCTCCAGGCCTTCATAGGGCTCAGCCAAGGCTCCTGCAGAGAACACGGGGAGCTGTGACGGGAGTTCTCCACCGTAGGTCCCTCCTTTGTCTCCTTCTTCCCTTGCCCCTGGCTTTCTAGGCTCTGTGTCGCGCGTGCGTGCGTGTGTGCGTGCGTGTGTGTCTATTATCCTAACTCGTCCTTCCCACTCCCAGACTGCAGGGGGGCGCTGTGCCAAGACCATTCACCACGCTTAGTTTCCCTAGGTGTTGCCATGCATTTTTTGGCCTCAAACTTGCAACAATCCTCCCGCCTCAGCCACTCTAGTGCTGGGATTACAGTCATGAGTCACCACTCCTGCTCTTGTACATTTCTTACCCCGGCCCGCCTTCTGTCTTCTCTCTCATCACCCCCCCCCCCGCTGCTCCCCCCCACCCGCCCCCGCGTGTTTTGTCTGTCTGCTTGGTATCTGGCCACACTGCTCACCTGTATAGCCTCCACGCTCGGAAGACTCCTCGGGCTCTGGGAAGGAACCTCGGGTGTCTCTGGACCGATATGGCCAGCCAGTGCCTCGGCTGGATGGAGCAGGAGCCTCCGACTCACCATAGGGGCCACCGTCATCCTCAAAGTCCGGCATGTCGAAGGGTGGGGCGCCATAAGGGGCCTCCCGGCGGGCAAAGGGTCCAGGAGGGGGTGGGTAGGGGTCGTAGGGTAGCACTGGTGGGGGGTACAGGTCTGGCCCGTAAGGGAGACTCTGGAAAGGTGGGCCTATATCTGGGCCGTATTCGTAGGGGAGTCCAAAGCCCCCCGGGCGCGGTGGGCCGTAAGCAGGGGGGGCGTAGCACATTGCAAAGGGCCTCGAAATCGTCTGTGAACAAGGGCGGAAAACATACCCAGGTCAGTACCCGCTGCTAGCTCATGTACCCTTCCCCCATCAACAGAGGAGGAGCTGGGAGGCTTGGGCAAAGACTGGCCCGGACCTCCCTGGAAAGGAAGGAGCAGGGCTTTGGATGGTTCCAGGATGATCTGGGGATCCTGAGGTCCTAGGATCCAGTGTCCTCAGACTGCAGCTAAGAACCAGAGTCTAAAGTGCCAGAATCTGGGGGGCCCATGGGAGCCAGAGTGAGTAACCCAAAGAAATTAGACGAAGGTGTTTTATGATTGGAGGATCAATGGGCAGGCTGAACACTGGGACTTAAGGGGCTGGAGGGGTCTGGAGGGAGCTTGCATCTCTGGCACGTGGAAAAACCAGCCTGGAGTTTTGGGCTCTTGTTTTTACGGAGCTAGTAGGAGGGGACCAGAGATCTCTGTGGCTGTGTTGAAATCTTGATAACCTGGAGTGTGTGTGTGTGTGTGTGTTGTGTGGACAAGTGTTATCAAGATCTAAGGGCCCAGGGGCTGGAGAGATGGCTCAGAGGTTAAGAGCACTGACTGCTCTTCCAGAGGTCTTGAGTTCAATTCCCAGCAACCGCATGGTGGCTTACAACCATCTACAATTCAATCTGGTGTATATGTAATAAATAAATTAAAAAAAAAAGATCTAAGGGCCCAGGAGTGTCTGGAGCAGGGTGTCTCACAGGTTATGTCTTGGATGTGTCTAGAAACCAGGAATTTAAAGATGAGAGACCCCAGAGCTGATAGGGTTGAACCCATGGGGGCCACTGGTTCGGGCCTTGAGATTTCCATTGCTGACACATGGAAGTCTTAGGATTGTAGCCAAGGTTTTGGGGTAGGCAGTGCAGACATATGTAAAGACACCCAGAGGACTCTGGGACAGTGGAGCCGTGTAAAGTACCTGAGTCCTGGGCGGGGCAGAGAGCACAGTCCATACCCCAGGCTTCGCCGTAGAGACAGCAGCACTCTGTGTAGGTGGCCTGCCGGTCTAGACGCGGGCGGCTGCAAACAAGATCAGGTCCCACTTCCTGCCAGCACACGCCCAGATTGTCATCTACGGGCAAGGACAGGATGCATCAGGGCAGACTGCGACTCCGCTCCCCCCGCACAGACCCAGGTCCAGCCTCCAGAGGGTTCTGTGAGATGGGGGCGGGCGTTTTCCTTCCCTGGGCATCAGTTTTTGTGTTTTGCTTTGAGATGGTCTGTGTAGCTCAGGCTGACCCAGAACTTGTGAAGCTCTTTCATCCACGCCTGAGGTAGCTAGGTTCACAGGTGCAGACCACCACACCCTACGCCTGAGCAGTGTTTAAGTGAAGCCTCAACGTTTAGGGATTTTTGTAGGAACAGAAAATGGGAAAAGAGAATTTGGGGCCAAGGACCAAGGCAAAGCAAGAGAGACACAATGTGTGTGTGTGTGTGTGTGTGTGTGTGTGTGTGTGTGTGTGTGTGTGTGAAAGACTTAAGATAGGTGGACAGAGCCGGGCGTTGGTGGCGCACGCCTTTAATCCCAGCACTCGGGAGGCAGAGGCAGGCGGATCTCTGTGAGTTCGAGGCCGGGCTGGACCGACAGCCTCCAAAACAATACAGAGAAACCCTGTCTCGTAAAACCAAAAAAAGAGATAGGTGGACAGAGACTTAAAGAATGAGAGAGAGACAGAGGAAACCAAAAGAGCGAGCATAGGAGAGTAGAGCAGGCCTGTAATCCCAGTAATTGAGAGGCTGAGGCAAGAGTTTAGGCTAGCCTGGGCTACCTAGTGAGAATATGCACGTAAAAAACAGAGAGGAACCCGGGGCCCAAGAAATGTGTGCGGATATACACAGCACAAAAACAAAGGACTGACCCTAAAACTTTCACCTTCAACCTCCAGGCCAGGTCACCCCGAAAGAGAAGCAACCCCTGTCCTATCACACCTGTAATCCCAGCAATTAGAAGGCCGAGGCGGGAGGATTTCTGTGAGTTCCAGGTCAGCCCGTACTACAAAACAATAATGATGTGGGGGAAAACAAAACAGTGTGGCCCAGAGGCACTGTGGCCCAGGGCTTTAATCCCAGCGCTCTGGAGGCGGAAGTAGGCGGGTCTAGGCAGGCAGAGATACATAGTGAGAAGCAGTCTCAAAAAAAAACCCCAAAACCCAAACCAAGCGAAATGCCAGTCTCTGGGCACATCCAGGTGTTAGGTGTTAGGGACGTGGCCTTGAAGAAGGCTTGGCCTAGGGATCTAGCGGCTGGGGGTGGGGTCTGGCGGGTTGGGGGTGGGGTGGAGTGGGCGGGTCCGTGGGCGGGGTTACCGAGGCTCTGGCTCTCGTTGGAGACGCAGCGGCGTCGGGAGCCGTCCAGCACCAGTGGGGGCTCGCAGGTGCAGTGGTAAGAGCCCACGGTGTTGACGCAGCGGCCGCCTTCACACGCTGGCTCCTCGTCGGCGCATTCGTCGTTATCTAGGAAGGTGGTGGTGGGGGGCGGTTACCAGGTTGACTTCCTTTCACATCTCCCCGGGCTCACTGACAGAGTGATGGATGCAGTCTAGACTTCGGGAGGACTTCCTGCTGGGGTAGCCACATTTCTCTCCGGGGCTGGCAAGGCCAGGGGTGGGGGTGGGGGAAGGTGGGTTCCTACCAATGCACTCCAGCCGCTGTGCGTGATAGTAGAAGCCGTTGCTGCAATAGCAAGAGTAGCCTGGTGCGGTGTTCACGCACACTCCGCTCTTGCACACCTGGTCCTGGAAGAGCTGGCATTCGTCCACGTCTGCGGGAAAAGGTGGAGACTGTTGAGGGGAGGGGTGGGTGTGACCCGCGGGAAACAGGGGAGCATGGGCTTGCCAGTCTTGACAGAAGACAGACATGGCACCCAGAAGCCGAGACAAGGAAAACTGGACCAGAGGGGAGCTCCAGGCAGAAGAGAAAATCAAAGTGAAAGAAAATGGAGCCAGGTATGTTGAGGCACGCATGAAATCCTAGCAGTCAAGAAGCAGAGTTCAGACGAAGAACAGGAGTTCAAGGTTAGCCTCTGCTGCCTAGCAAATTCTCCGCTAGCCTGGGCTCTAGACCCAAAAACCACAAATTAAAAAGCTGTAAAGAAAAGAGAGGAGCACTGAGCGGTGGTGGCGCATGTCTTTAATCCCAGCGCTCGGGAGGCAGAGGCAGGAGGATCTCTGTGAGTTCAAGGCCAGCCTAATCTACAGATCGAGTTCCAGGACAACCTCCAAAGCAATACAGAGAAACCCCGTCTCGAAAAACAAAACAAAACAAAAACCCACAAAGCAAAGAAGAAAGAAAGAGCAAAAGAAGAAAGAAAGAAAAAAGAAAGAGAGAGAGGGAAAGAAAGAAAGAAATCGAGCGGCTCACAAGTCTGAGGCCAGTCTGGACTACTAGTGAAATCCACTCCTCAAAAACAAACAAATAAGAAATAAAACGGGGAGAAACCGAGGCAGGGTGAGACAGAGCTGGGCCTCGGGGTTGCGGGTGGGTGGGGTTGAAGTCTGGCCTTACCTCTCCTGGCGCTCAGGTCTCCACTGGGTACCAGGTAGCCCCGGCCGTGAGGACACAATGACTGGTACTCAGCTGTACACAGAAGCAAGGATGAGCTCAGAAACCCGAGCCCGAGTTCTTGCCCGAGCCCCCGCCCCCCCCCCCCCGCTCCAGCCCCCTACCCAGGGCGAGAGCCCAGGCCAGGCGGTGTCCAGTTCCCAGCTTTACCCGCCCAGGAGCCCACCTGGGGGCTGATGGCTCACTTCTTGTCCTGGAAGCACCAGTAACTCAATCCTAGACCTAAACACCTCTTTCCCAGCCCCTCCCTCCCCGCATCTCCACCCGGAGCCTGCGCCCTGCGCGGGTCTCCCCACGGCCCACACCCACCTGTCTCGGTGCCTGGACACTGCTGGATGCGGCAGCCACTGCCCCAGCCTTCACCCACGGTACAACAGCATTCCTGCCACGTCACATTTCGGGCCAAGATATTGTCACATGCGTCTGGAGCCGCCGTGTCAAAGTAGCATTCCCGACGCCCGCTGCTCACAGCCCCCTGCCTGGGAGGGCTGGGTCTTCGAGGTGGGGGTGGGGGCGGAGGCCTGGCTGGAAGACTGGGGCCGGCAGGTGCTTGGGGCTGCGAGCCTGGGAACGAGCCTGAAGGAAGAAACGGCTTTAGCCAGGCATGCATTTGTCTCCTTCTCTCCCACGTCCGTGGTGGGGAAAACAGGCCCAGAGGGCACCAGCCATCAGTAGCCGAGCAAGAGCGCACACTTAGGGCCTAGGGGAACAAACGAGGTCTCATGTGACTCATGATGACTCCCGCCTCCACCTACCAAGGGCCAGGATTACAAGTGTGCCCCGTGATGCCCAAACCTGGAGCCCCATGAGTGCTAGGCAAGGACTTTCAAGCCTAAATGACAATATATATTACATTGCTTATATTACATATATTATATTGTATATATTACATGTATTATTTTGCATATATATTATATTGTATATATTACATATATTATATTGTGCATATGGATTTGGTTGGTTTAATTTTTCTTTCTTTCTGTTTTATTTTAATTTTTAAAGACTCATTTATTTTAATTTTTAAAGACTCATTTATTTATTTTATGTGTATGAGTGCTCTATCTGCATGACAAGTCAGAAAGGGGCATCAGATCCGACTGTGGATGGCTGTGAGCCACCATGTGGTTGCTGGGAATTGAACTCAGGACCTCTGGGAGAGCAGCTAGTGATCTTAACCTCTGAGCCATCTCTCCAGCCTGTTTTATTTTTCAAGAAAGGGTTTCTCTGTGTAGCTCTGGCTGTCCTGGCACTCAATGTGTAGGCCGGACTGGCCTCGAACTCACAGAGATCCTCCTGTCTCTGCCTCCTGAGTGCCACTGTCAGGCCAAATTGTTACTTAACCAGTATTGTTGAGTAGGCTTAGTCAGGCTGGAAACTCACAGAGATCCTCCTGCCTCACCTCTAAGTGCTGGAGTTATAGGTGCGAGCCAACATGCCTGCCTTCACTTTGGCTTGCCACAGCCCCCTGTCATTTCTGAACCCTTTGCTTCACAGCCTCACCACCTCGGCTGTGGCACGGGCGGGGACAGGTGATCGCCTGTGCTTTCCATGGGTTTCTCTGGGTCTTCACAGCCAGCTTGTCCCCGGTGGTATCAAACATCCCACCGCCAGGCGGCCTCGAGGCTCGTTCACGTGGCTCGCACCCACCCCCAGGCTCTCCCCACTCAAGGCCCCTGTTTCAGGCCAGCTCTGTGGTCTCCAGCTCCGACCCTTCCACTCTCCAGCTCTCTCACACAGCATCCGCAGAGAGATTTCAAAGCCTTTCTTGGTTGGAAGTGGTCCATGGTGCCCCAAGGAAAAACCTCCTAAAGCAACTGCCCAGAGCGTTAGTGATGGGGACACACCTTCTGGGTACGTCTGTGAGGGTGTTTCTAGAAAGGACTTCCGGAAGACCCACGGCCATTTCCCAGGGGCAAGGTCTCTGGACTGAATAAAAAAGGGGAAAGGAAAAGGCCAGCTGAACCCTGAGTTCCCCTTTCTCCACTTCCTGATCCACGCACGGCGAGCAGGAAGATCACACTCCTGCCGCCATGTACCCCACAGATGGCTGCACCATCTCACCATGAGCCAGGATGAACCCTTCTCCCTTCCGCGGCCACAGCTACACAATGCCGCCTCGCACACTTCATCCCACTTAGTTCAGACGCTGACCCCTTCGGGACCCTCCCAAAGCCGCCTCCTCATGCCGGCCCGGGTCTCCCTCGCCTTTTCCCCTGCAGCTCCCTTTGCGCTTCCATCCTCCCAGCCAGCCCAGCTTTCTCTGTTGTATCATTATCTTTATCTCTTTGCTGGTGTTTGTTTATTTTCAATACTGAGGATTGAATGGGGGGCTTTGTGCTTACCAGACAAAATCTTTATTGCTGAGCTGTGTCTCCAGCCCCTCACTGGGGGATTCTAGGCAGGGGCTCTACCACTGGGCCACGCCCCCAGCTCCTCACTGGAGGATTCTGGGTAATTTTTCCACTGCTGAGCCACGCCTCAGCTTTTCACTAGTGGGGTCTTGACAAGCACGCTGCCATTGAACTATATAGACGCCTAGCCAACTTTAATTTTTTATTTGAGACAAGGAAGGTCTCACTAAGCTGCCCAGGTTGTCACTGAACTCACTAAACTTTCAACCCCGCATCAGCTTTCTGAGTTGCCACAGGCCTTCTGGCACCTGGCTTAGCTCTCCGTGGGATGCTGAGGCCATCGGGACAGATATTAAGCGTCTCTGCTTACTACTGTGTTCCCAACGCGCAATGAGGGTCTGAACATGCTGATTGGCCTATGTATACATGCCAATTGGAGGGATCTAACCGGGTTCCAGGCAGAGGCTAATTTTCTTGAATAACTAATATCATGCCAAAGGCCGCAGCCTGCAGCTCAGTGCAGAACACTTGCTTACTACCGACACATCCTGCAGGTTCTGAGGCCGGGCTGGGACTCAGTTGGTAGAGTGCTTGCCTAGCATGCGCAAAGGCCACAGCTGGATTCTCAACACCACGCAAGCCAGGCGTAGCGGTACATGCCTGTGACCCCAGCACTTAGATAGTCGAGGCAGGAGGACCAGATGCTCAAAGTCATCTCAGCTACAGAGAATTTCTGACTAGCCTGGGCTGCCTGGAAAAAAAAAATCGGGCTTTCAAAAATGACTCCTCGGGTAAAGGCGCTCATCACGGAAGCCTGCCATGGCCCATCATGGGAAAAAACCATGTCTACATGCATACATGCATGTACCCATCACGTCAAACACAAGAATCAAACTTTAACAAACTAAAGGCTGGAGAGATGGCTCAGTAGTCACTGCTGCTCTTGTGGAGGAATCAGTTAGGTCTCCTGGGGCATTCATACACACATGTACATAATACACTCACTCTCCACACACACATTAATGCAGCAACAGCAACAGTCAGGCAGTGGTGGCGCACGCCTTTAATCCCAGCACCCAGGAGGCAGGGGCAGGCGGATCTCTGTGAGTTTGAGGCCAGCCTGGTCTACAGAGCTATGTAACAGAGAAATCCTATCTTGAAAAACCAACCAACCAACCAACCAACAAATAAGTAAATCTTATAGAACCCTTTAAAAAACCTGAAATAATTGAAAACCTGAAAACCTCAAAAGAACACATGAAATTTTTTAAAAATTAAAATTTGACTGATGGAAGGTATCAGCACGTGCGCACAAACACACACACACACACACACACACACACACACACACACACACGGTTAAGTCACACAATTTTCCCACAGAACCAGAGGCATTTGTTAAGTAGACACGTGAATCTTACCGGCAGGAGTACGTGGGGGAACACAGCGTCCCGTCATGGGGTCGAACTCCTCAGGACTAGTGGGGCAGACACACAGGAAGGAGCCTTCGACATTTTCACACCGAGCGGAGCCGCACACGCCCTGTAGCGTCTCACACTCATTCACATCTGTGGGCAGGAAATACATCTTTGAGAGGGAGTCCACGCTATGAACCCCTGCGGTTGGAGATGGCCAAGATCTCAACTGTAACAGATGGGGCTGGAGAGATGGCCCAGCAGTTAAGAGCACTGGCTGCTCTTGCAGGGGACTTGGGCTCAGTTTCCAGCATCCACAGGGTGGACCACAACTGTCTGTATCTCCAGTTCCAGGGATCTGATGCCCTCTTCTTGCTTCTACAGGCGCTGCATGTATGTGATGCAGACAAATACTAGATACATAAAATACAAACACGTGTTTGAATATAAAGGGTTATAATCTGTAGGGGTGAGCCCTGTGGGGTGTGGACGGGGGTACCCGGGACAGGTGAGGCTGTAAAAAGAAAGGAAAAGCAAAAGCCCTCACTCTTGGAAGTTAGTCACGCTCCCAGAGCTTCTATCCCTGTTTACCTTGTAAGTATATTTAATAAATATATTAGACCTCCTTTTTCAGATAGTGCTATTTCCATCTTCAATAATCTATCTCTAAAGAGATATGTCTTTTGAGGTAGAATTTCACTGTGTTACCCTGGATCACACTATGTAAATCAGGCTGGCCTTAAACTTGTGACAATCCTCCTGCCTCTCCTTCCTAAATATCAGGATTACATGTATGAGCCAACATTGCTAGCTTTTTGTTGCCATTGTTTCATTAAAAAAAAAAAAAAGAACCAGCCAGGTGGCGGTGGCACACACCTTTAACCCCAGCACTCAGGAGGTAGAGGCAGGCAGATCTCTGTGAGTTCAAGGTCAGCCTGGTCGTTGACAGAGTTCCAGGGCAACACAGAGAAACACTGTCTTGAAAACAAACCAACAACAAACAAACAAACAAAAACAAACCAACAATACCCCCAGAACACACACACACACACACACACACACACGCACACGCACACACACACACACACAGTTTTACTCTTTAAACCAGGATAGTTTGTCCTCAGCCTCGTTGTAATCCTCCTACTTCAGTCTCCCAGGGGGCTGGTGTTGGAAACATGCACCATTATACCTGGTTCACAATGTAATTTTTTTTTGAGACAAGGTTTCTTTGTGAAACCTAGGTTGTCCTAGAACTCACTCTGTAGACTCTTATTTTTAAAGGTGTGTGTGTGTGTGTTTGTGTGTGTGTGTACCATGTGCACGGGTCCAGTGGAGACCAGGAGGTGTTGTGAGCTACTACGTGAGTGCTGGGAACTGAACCCCAGTCCTAACATCTTGTCCTCTAGAGTGGACATTTTTTTTTTTTTTTTTTTGGTTTTTCGAGACAGAGTTTCTCTGTGGCTTTGGAGGCTGTCCTGGAACTCGATCTGTAGACCAGGCTGGCCTCGAACTCATAGAGATCTGCCTGCCTCTGCCTCCCGAGTGCTGGGATTAAAGGCGTGTGCCACCAACGCCCGGCTTAGAGTGGACATTTTTTAACAGCCCAGACGGTACTATCTACTTTCTTCTGGTTAGGAGCCCTAACTTTCCCTTGGGGATTTTCTGAGTTTCCAAGTTGGCCCCATGCATCCTGATTAGAGCCAAGTCTCCACTGGGGCAGAACCAATCAGGTTACTTCGATTCTCCGGGTCAATGGTAGGCGGTGACCTCATCACACCAATCAAAGCTAGTCTCCAACTTTCTGGGTCACCTCCTTAGCCCTACAGCTGCCAGGCCGAGGGTGTCATCCCAGACAGAGCGAGGGCCACCTGTCACTGGGTAAAATCAAACCCAACAGAGGGAGACAGACAGCTCTGCTGCAGCTCTTGGCCCCGGGTCCGTCTGCACTCACAGACTTTGCCATTTCAATGCCCTCTCTCCTCTCAGCTGCTTCTTACTTCATTTTATGTACGGAGTGTCTGCCAAATGTGTGCATGTGCGTCACAGGAGTGCCTGGTGCCCTCAGAGGTCGGGAGAGGGCAGCAGGTCTTCTGGACCTGGAGTTACAGCTGTGAGTCTCTATGTGGCTGCTGGGGACTGAACCTGATTCTTTGCGAGAGCAGCAGGTACTTAGTCCCAGCACTCAGGAGGCTGAGGCAGGAGGATCTCTGTGAGTTCAAGGCCAGCCTGGTCTACAGAGCGAGTTCCAGGACAGCCTGAGCTACACCGAGAAGCGCTGTCTCGAAAATAAGTTAATTAATGAATTAAAAACAAAAGTGCATGTATTTGGCAGGGCATGGTGGCACAGGTCTTTAATCCCAGCTCTCAGGAGGCTAAGACAGGTGGATCTCTGTGAGTTGGAAGATAGCCTGATCTACATCGTGAGTTTCAGGCCAGACAGAGTTACATGGTGAAATCCTGTCACACACACACACTCATACACACACTCACTCACACTCACACAGTCTCTCTCACACACACACTCACACACACTCTCACACACACCCACACACACACACACACTCAGTATTTATGAGCACTTTGTTCTTCTAGAAGACCCAAATTTGTTCCCACAACCCACTTGACAGCTCAC